ATACTTTCCCAAGAAAGAGATGCTATTTCTGGAGACTGGGTTTCTGATTCTCAAATTCATCTTTAGTCAAGGAGTTGCAAGCACCTTTCAGTGAAAGCTTTTCTAATGCGCAAGTGCACGCCAGCAATTTACGTAACACCCACGGCGACTTTTGCAAGCTGAATAAACTATAGTAAATCAGTAGCGAGACATTTATGGCCAAGACAGGGAACACAATGGCATGTTTATTCCAGCAGTGTCTAACGTAAGCACAACACCAAATACAGTAACGTTTCTGTGTACAGTCCTAAATGCCAGCCGCTTCGTCTCCATGGAACTGACTATGAAAACACATATGGAGTCTTGTCGGCCTCTTATAAGGCCCTATACAAGGCATTTGATTGATCGCTTGATTGGTGGCAAATCAAATGGCATCAAGGATGAACACAGTCCTCGGAAATTCTGTGCTGCAGGTTCAGTGAATTACAAGGAAGTAGAACACACCAAACTCTTTGGTTCCATTCCAGACCCAGAGGATATTTAATTGATGTGTGACAGGCGAGGAAAAGGTGTTTGCCTGTTTGTCCATAGTTGATATTTTACAATACGAGATTTCCCGTATGTTTATGTTTGCCTTTATTTCCATCTTCTAAGTCTAATGGTTATTGTTTGTTCCATTCTTTCAATAAATGTCTCGATGCTTGTCGCTTTGAGATGACGATATTATTCTGACAGTTTGTGTGCTTATTTACTTATACGGAGACGCATATGCCGCACAAATGAAGGCACTTCAGGGATGCTACCGCAGTGGTGTAATGGTGAGCAGCACGCTGGAACTGCAATCCAGAGGTCACCGGCTCAATTTCATCTCCTGGCGAGGCCATTGAAACAATGGTGAAAGTTCACAAAATCCCCCCCGCCGCCTTTGTCCACCCAACAATGTACATGGAGAGACCACAGTCAGTCGATCGGCAGGTCACACGTGGTGGGATAAAGTCTAAGTACTCCCACCTCTTCCAAGACATAGAAGAATAGGCCAAACACCCCCTAGAGAGACAACTGTCTCTAGAGCTCCCTCTCTGGAGCTCCCACCAGTGGAAGTCAGTCTGCCAGCAATGGCATGAGTGAGAAATTACAGAACTGAAATATTTAAAAAACAACTACTTTAACGCCCACTGAGCTACATAGCTCTTTTTCAGAAGCGACCTGGCCACAAATAATAACTCACCGAAGTGGCTTATTACGTGGAAATATATAGCAGCCAAATACTCTAAAACGCATGCTAAATCTAAATGTGGAGGGAAAACCCAGAGGACCCGCAGGGAAATCCACGCGACCACGGGGAGAACACGCAAACTCCAAATGTACAGCCGTCAAGGACGGGATCGAACCGACGACCTGTATACCAGTTGGCTGTGTAAGGTGGTGGCGGGTTAAACGACACATTCATATATTTACGCGATCTAACCAAAAAAAACCTCCATTATGGATGATATTGGTCGCGAAAGCCTACGTGTTAAACAGGGTGAAGTAGTTAACATCTCGCCACCGTGGCCAGATGGTTTGAACCTTTTGGAGGTCAGTGCTGTGTGCGTACGGCTCGGGACTGGGAATGCAAACAATGGTAAACTGCAGTGAGAGAGAGAAATGGTGAAACGGCAACCGGTGCCAGGGCCAAAACATCGTTTTGGGCGGGATAGCGAGAGACCACCCGTGGGATGCCCGTCAGGTGAGGAGCAGGCCGACAGCTGGAGTCAATCTTCACTTTCCTGCCAAGAATTGCCCTGGAAAATGTGTCTTAAAGGAGAACATCTTTAACATTTTAGCACCTCGTCTTGTGCCCGACGATATTGCCATCGGTTGTTGTGCGCGGCATCAAACATTGATAGAACAACAAAACAATTAACTCGTGTACAAAGTCCACGTTGTTTGTGATATTTTACATGCGTATGCATGCCATTAATGTGCCATGCCGTTGAAATGCACGCAAGGCTCTGGGCAGAGGAGAGTTTGTAATATTTACTTTAATATCAGTGGCTCGTACATGAAGTAGAAAAAATATATAATATAAATTTACAGCTTTTTGTCAATCCACTGCTGTCTGAATGCCTCTTCATGCCGTGAGCATACTTCACCACGCTGGTCGGTGTGGGTGTGTCAAGCTGTAGAAAGTGGATAGGCATACACCCGATCCAGTTTGGATTTTTTTTTACTGGGAGAGTTAGTCGTAATAAAACATTTATAAAAAACACAAACGAAACTGTAGCTGCAAAATGGTATTTCCCCTTAATAAGTCACAGGGGCTGGGAATGTGAAGTGACTGTGTGTGTGTGTGTTCAAATGCCTTAAGAGGGTGGCTGCTGACTTGAGTTACCTGCCTGAACTCACTCCATCTTAAAGTGTTGGCTCAAATTTCCAGAACAATATTTACTATTGTGTCTTCAATTACACCGGTGTCCTCAGGTCCTCTGTGTTGTTAAAGGCTCCAATATCCCCCTTGCCCTGAGTCTGAACCGCGCGTACCTGCCAATTCCCCCGGATAAACTACAGGGCCGGGTTCTGCGTGAAGTAAATAAATAACCACCCTGGTTGTTTCGTGACCACAAAGATGATCGCTACAAAGCGCTGATTCGACACACTGCCACGATTGTGGGGTCACGAGACAACGCAAAGATCGGTTATTTAGAAACATCCATTTATTTGAGTATTTGGCTGCTGTACATTTCCACATGATAAGCCACATCATTGGGCGATCATTCGTGGCCAGGTTGCTTATGAAAAAAGAGCTGTATAGCTCAGTGGGCCTTACCTGGTAAAATAAAAAAAAATTGTAAAGTTTTAGTTTATTTTGGAGCAGTATGTATGTCTGTTGAACTTCTTTCGCAACGTAGGTAGCCAACCGTGCTAATCGTATCTGAGGAATGGAACACGGCCAAGAGGATTTCCACTCACAAGGCGGAGCGATGGTAGATTAATTACACTGCAGGTTGGCGTCGGTTTGATGAGGCCCTCACCCAGCAGTGGATTAACCAAGGCTGACAACGATGATAGGGATAGTGGTAAGTGATTTGGATAAAACTGTCAGATTAATTGCTAATTATCGTTACTTTTTAAAGTTCACGATGCATGCATAAAATCACATTCCCAAGCATCGGTATTCTTAAATTCACGGACATTACATGCAAGTACAGTTTCCCTACATTTATTACCAAACAAGACAAGGAAACGTACCAATGAGATTTGTAGGGGGGGGGGGGGGGGGTTTGCGTGTAGAGAGTGCATTAAATGCACCTCTAATAATGACCACCTTTACACAACTCAGTACTCGAACAGAGAATGCAATGATACGTTGCCTGACTTCCCTGATACGAACATTACAAATGCCCCCAGCAATGTAGGCCACTGTTCTTCATCAATTTTCAGAGGGTTGGGCCACTTTCGCCGATAAGACATCATCGGTGTGAGGGTCGCCACGCGTTTGAAAGCATTGAGGTTGACAGCGGCACGATGATGGGGGTGTTTTCACATTTGTGTATCGTCTGGGGCCGCACTAAAGGCCACCAGGGGACACCTGTGGCCGGCGGGCCTTGCGTTGAAGAACACTGATTGAGACCGATTCAATATGGATGCGTGTATCCATAGGGATGCTGCCTAATACACCGGGCCAGCGAGCTAGTGACGGCGGTTGCTGGGCGAGAGGGTGAACGTCTATCTTTATTCTTTTTACTTTTACGGCAACCGCGCATCGTTATCAGAGTCATTCACGGCTTGGAACCACTCCGTGGACCTTGGACGCCAGCGGAGGAGGAGAGACAGAGCACGCGCCCTCACTCTGTCATCACGTTGGCATCGGCGAGATATCCACCAAAGCTTAGCTTTCAGGTTATAACCAATGTTCTTAATAGTTTACAGGAATATATTTCAAACGGGAACCTTTTTGCCAGTATCAAAGTATAAAAAAATGAGAATAGGTTTTATCCTTACTGGCAATAAAACAGGAGGTGTTAAGATGTTCAAACACCAAATACAAGCCTTTGTGGTGAGCATGCAAACAAACATGCTCTGATATACATTGTCTTTCAAACCGATTGGTCTACACCAGAGGCAGCCTTCTTTAGGGCCGAGTCTCACCAGTGTCAGACCAGAGAATGCCAAAGAGGAGAACAGTACAAAGACAATGCCACTATCAGGGCATTTATAGCTCGAGGTGAGAAGCTGCAAAAATACATTCCCCCTGCTACCCACTGAAACCTACAAGGCCCACACACTCTTTCACGATTGTAACCCCATGTCCCCCTTGAAACCCAAGTAATGATCTTACCTGGTCACCAAGCCCATTGAATACATCTTCATTGACTAATGAAGAGAGCTACGTTGGGTAGTTCCGTCAAAACAATACGAAGCTTTGAGAATGGAAAGCTGGTTTTAATGGCTCGTGGTCTCAACGTGTGGCATTGCAGGTCACTAAGAGCAGCCTTCACTTGAATTGAGAAGTTGAACCCGGCCGGGTGACACAGAGTGTGGTGCTTGCAGTTGGGAGGTTGTAACTCCAAAAGACCTGCTCATGGAGTGGAGGGAGTTCAATTCCACCTTTCATTCTTTTCATCGTCACCATCAGCCATGAACAATACACAAGCTATCTCCAGTTGATTCTGCCGTGCAATAATCGGCCGAGCACTCACAGCACACGAGCTGATTCCATCGCTCCATCTACCCGGTTGACGTCCTGTCGCTCGCGTTCCATTCCTTGGCTACAACTCCAAAACTATTTTTAACATGGGCCATCATCCCTACCAACGACGTGTCCTGCCTTCTGAGCTTCATCCCTCTGGGGGGGAGGGGTGTCAACAAAATGCGTACCAATTTGTGGGAAAGCCAACAATGGTTGTCTCCATGGAAAGCCCCACCCCCACCATAGGCATGTGGAATTTCCAACCACAGGCTCAGAGCTTCGAGTGGGGAGCAGGCTGGCAGGGGCTGCTGGGAAGTGCGTCGTGTGGCCTGTTAAGACGCCCGCTTACCCGGGAAATAGTGAGCGGCTGGCTGAAGTCCTTCCCTCCAACCAGCCGAAAGCCCCAGGGAGCAGAGCCGGTGAGGCGCACTTGCATGGTCATGTTGAGACTCGAGTGGCGTCACAAATCTGAAACAATAAGAGAAAGGAAATAGTACACCAGATGCATGTCTGAGATTGAAAACTCATTTTAAATTGAAAACTGGTTTCTTTATAACTGCTGGTTGTGTTTAATATGTCGTCCTTTGCCCGCACCTCCGATTAGCACGGTTGCCGACGTACTGTGCAAAAGAAGGTCAACATACATACCGCATATATACAGCCAATAGACTGAGCACCTGCTATGTGATGTGACCATCACCAGATACGAGTGTTTCAATGTCGTTTTGCGGCTGCGATCGATTGCACGTGTCACTGCTGGCAGAAGAGCTTCCACTGGAGGGCCCTCTAGAGAGACACTCTCTGGAGGGTATGTTGGCCAACTCTTACACACTGGCAGGACACCACACGCTATCTGCCGATCGACTGAACTCTAGCGCATCCATTTCGACTACTGGGTGGGTAGAAGTGGAGTGGATTTTTAGTGGGCTTGCTGATTGTTTCAACTGCCACGGAGGTTGAACCGGCCACCTCTGGAGTCCAGTAATGGAATGCCACCAGGATCACATTCCATTACTACTACCGAATGTATAATTTTTTTAATTACATACAAACAAGCATTTTCACAATTTACGGACACCCACATCACTCTGTCAATGGGTTTTACAAGCCTCAACGAGCTCTCACCTGCTTTAAGGCAATATTTTCAAAAGATCAAAACAAGTATGAAATGTAAACACTTTAAAACAAACACTTGCTTTCTCAGGATCCCTTGGCAGAAGCCTGATTGACGTTAAACTGTTACCAAAAGGTATGTAAGTGGAGCGTCTTTCCGGAATTGTGACCGAACCAAATGCACCTTTGACCCTGCCCTCCCGACACAATGAGAGAATCAGACCACACACAATGACAGAAACAAACGGGCAACATCATCCAAGTCACAGGACTGGGCCAAGACAGAAAATAGAAACGTCTATTCTTGCAATTTTTTCCAGTTTCTAAAAGGATGGAAATGTGGTAATAAAATTTGTATGACAATGGGGGGCACTCTCTGAGCCATCATCCAGGTCGCCTGAGATTGATTCCCCGACCGTGGCCTGCGATAGCATCAGTGGCGAGAGACATCAGTGGCGAGAGACATCAGTGGCGAGAGACATCAGTGGCGAGAGACATCTTAAGCAATTATGCACCTGTCAAGCCTTCACCAACCCACATTGAACAGCGTGGTGGAGAATGGTGAAACGAGTCGCCACGCATGAATGTCACAGCGTCGCGAAGCCTTCATCCAGCAGTGGATTGACAGAGCTTTAGTAGCTTTTCGCAACGTTTCACTTCACAGTACTCTCATATTTTGTTATAATATTCATGGCTTACAATATCACAATGCTGTAAATGCATCGTGAGAAATTTTCGGGTAAAATTAAACACGTTGGGCACCATAAATATAGGGGCACGTAAAATATAGCGAAGAATCACGCTCATATTCTTAGTTCTTTCGGTAAAGTCACGTTGAAGGGAAACAATAAAATAATAAAATATATATAAAACAAGAAAAATTATTGTTTCCCTTCAACGTGACTTTACCGAAAGAGCTAAGAATATGAATTACTGCAGTCACGAACGCTTTAAATCAAAATTGAATCTAGTTCGGTCACGCCAATTCAGTCGCAGGGAAATTTTGACAGTTGGCAATGGGCTGACAACAATAGAGCATACATATACCAATTATATAACATCCTCTTCACAGAGAATTCCATGCCTTGGTAATTTCCTGTAACCAAAAAAAACTAGTTTTTTCCTGGCGGCTTTGGGAATTTAACCATGAGCACATATACCCTGGCTCCTGTGGCAAGCATGTTTGACCCACTTAGCTACTGAGCAAGCCAGATCATACTCCAGTAAGAAATCCATAAAGTTAGATTATTTTTTAAGCCAGTGTATGATTTATACAGACAATGAATATACCACGAAGAAAGTTGAACGGTTGTATTGTGTTACTGTTTGATTCTTTCGGTAAAGTCACGTAGTAGTTAGAAATAAAATCAAACCAATCACCACGTTTCGATCGCAACGCAAGCAATCATCATCAGGTGGGAAAACCACAGCAAGACATGTTTTTTGCTGAAGTGGGAGAGAGAGCTGCCGTAGCAAGAGGTTATATAGGTGAGAGGGGGGAGGGGCAAGGGGGGAGATAGAGGGGGGGGTAGGGGAGCGCTGCGTGAGTGCTCGGGGGACGTGAGGCTGGGGGGGGGGAGTGGGCGGGGCTGGAAGTGGGAGGCCGAGAGAGCTGGGGGTACGGGGGGGGGGGGAAATTAACTCGTAAAAACAGACTACTATATCATGATATCATATCTGCCGGCTACTAGTCTATTTATACTCTTTGGTTCTATTCGGTAAAGTCACGCAGGTAAAAAAATAAAACAACAAAAATCACGACGTTTCGGCCACAACACAAGCGGCCTTCATCAGGTGAAGGGATCAGGCTGTCTCGAGGACAGCGCTGGAGTGAAACACAGGCACGCTCAGACCACGTGCATCCCCAGCTCTCTCGGGCTCCCACTTCCAGCCCCGCCCACTGCCCCCCCAGCCTCACGTGCTCTCTCCCCCGAGCAATCACGCTCCCCCTCTCTTACCTATATAACCTCTTGTCACGGCAGCTCTCTCTCTCTCGCCTACTTCAGCAGTTAAAAATGTTCATGCTGTGGGTTTCCCACCTGATGATGATTGCTTGTGGTGCAATCGAAACGTCGTGATTTGTTTTATTTAATTTCTAACTACTACGTCACTTTACCGAAAGAATCAAAGAGTATGGATTCCTGCAGTCACGAAAGCTTAAAGTCAAGTTGTATTGTTTTTTGACCGCACTGATGTAAATTTGATGCGGATATATGCATTGGACCTATCAGTTATAGTTTGTTGTGAATATTAATTGGTAATTTCATTCTATTTTGGGAGAAACCACATTTCCTGATATAATGACAAGTCCGCCCGTCCGCCTTTAATAATTTAAACATCGTATTGTTCATGCTATCATCATCCATCCCTACAGCTGTGTTGCAAAATGTTTTCTCATTGTTTGAATGCCGAATCAGATTGATTATAGCGAATGATGGATGATTGTATCGAAGTATATTAATAATTCGAGAATATCTCATCAATACCATAAACCATTTAAATAAACTAAAATGTATAAGTCTATTACATATGTTCATGTTAAATTTACGTCAGGTATCTCGAGTAACAATAGTCAACATTCTTTTTGGCATATTCAATTTCGGACGCCCTGTATTTGAGTCGTCAACGAAGGTATTTATAGCAGTGACACAGCGCGATTCCACTGGAACAGACACGACCGCCTACCAATGCCTCCCATAACCCAGACAGGGCTTTGTACGCAATGTTCTGCAGGATGTCAGCGGACCTGAGTGAGCGTAGGGCGTGTGACGCGTGGTCGTGGCAGCGTTTCGCTTTTTTGGCAGAGGAGCGGTTCGAGCGGATGGGCGTGAAAAATGTTCCCCAACCCCCCCCCCACCACCCCCCACCTTTTTTTCTCGCCAAATGCGCAGACAAACGCGTGCGCACGCGTACCCACGAAGAATAAAATGTGGAATTCTTTGTTTCTGTCACCCAACCCCACCGGCATCGTGGCACGAGAAGAGTGAACACGAAGGGAGGCGCGCCTGCTATTAAGTAGAAACAATTAGTCATCTTGAGCATTGCAGCTGGCTGCCTTCCCACGGCACATGGCAATACAGAGGCAAAAAGCGACAAGGCACGGATGGCCTCTGTAGGCGTCCGTTGTTTCACGAGAAGCTAAGCTTAGGGGCATCACAGCGCACGGCGGGTGCGGGCAGTGCCGGATTAAAGAAGCGCGGGGCCTGTAGCATGTTACCAAGGGGCCCTAAATAAAACGTAAATATTAAAACACATTTTTAATTTGCATAGTAAAGTAATTGTATTTTTTCATTTGCTATACAGCCAGATAATACGACAAATCGCTAATCCTAAACACCCAGTCGTTCATAAAAGTTGAAGGCGGTATAGTACTATAGTAATCGAGCAAGTGCAGAACCTGTGAACCGGAATTGACATCTTGAAAGCGTTTAGCGCGGGGCCCTTGAAAGTGCGGGGCCCGTAGCATTTGTAGCTACTTGTGCTACTAGGATCATCCGGCACTAGTGGGTGGGCCAGCAACAGACCAAAGCGACCTTTGTACCGTCAAGTACTGCTATTGGCGTATCACACGAGGCACTCGTTTAAGGCCGAGTGGATCGAGGATACACCTTAAATAGGTTAAGATTCCACGTACGGCTGATGTCAGCCAAGCCTGGGAAATGCATCCAAGGTCACCCGAGTTTGTTGCACCAGTGCACACACTGTTGTGCCACTATTCCTCGTAAGGGAATACACCGACAGACACACACGCGCGCGCGTGCCCATGCACCATCAAATACGCTCACAAATGCACTCACTACAACCCAGGCACACACAAAGACAAAGACGCCCCTCTCATGTGCTGGCATGGCACACGACGGCGTGGTTGGCCAGGAACTACTTTAAGGCTGAGAGGCCCACGACCTGTTTTGGGTATTCTTCACCGACGCCGGCTGCGACACGGACTCGAACTCAGGTTCGTAACGTCGTGTGCAACCCGCTGCACAACCGCTCCCCCCAAAAAACAAGCACGCACGGTTACACACACACACCCACACACAGACACACACACCCACACACAGACACACGCACAAGCCACCAGCACCTAAACACACACCCACATTCAGGCCGCTGTTGTCATGCCACTCGTTTGTCCTTGTAAGGTAACGGCGCAGTCACCACCACCGCAGTCCCTGACAAAGTTCAGGCTTGGGAGGGAAGCTCGCGCTCTGATGATGCCTCCCTTCCCCATCCAATATGGAATTTGTATATCTCTGGCTGTGCGCGATAGGCCTTAAAGCTAATTTATGAGCGCTTTGCATTCACGCGCCAACGTGGACAATGAACAGCAGGCGGGCTAGACAGTCCGGTGGTCG